AAGAATGACTCCAGAAGAACTGCTTTTCCTGCGAGTGCACAGTTCTACCTGCACTTCAAGTAGTACTGTGTGGCAAGATGCTGTTGTAATATAGCTGTAATGTGCCGCATAGCCTAGGGCAGTTTAAAATAGAAAAAAAACATGAAAACTTTCTGGGCAAATGTCCTTAACTACAATTATCTGAAAAATTGTTCTTAAACCTTTAGCAACTACTTTACTGAAACATAATTTTACTCAAATGGGCACAATCAGAGAACATCTAGGCTGCTCACAGGCATGGAAAAAACGAAACAGAAAAACAGTGCTTTACCAGAAGAGGAAGCACATTAGTTTGACCTGACTTCCCAGCATCTGTAGAGATTGGGTGCTTCAATGGGGCTTTTTGGCTCTTGGATAAAAGTGCCAAAAAGCCCCACTGAAGTGAACGATCTATACAGATGCTAGGTTAGCCTGGTCAAACTAATGCTATGCCACTTCTGGGCATGTGCTGTGCTCGGCATGGGGGTGCACCGAGCTGAAAGTAAAGCGCTGTTTTGGTTTTCTTCCCCACGTCAGTAAGCAGCCCTAGAGTCTAGCCCAGCATAAGCTAAATTTTCAAGACAAGCCAATCTTGTTAAGCAACATGAAATTAAGTCCCATCTCTTCGCTCTAATTCTCTCATATTGGGGGACCAAGTTATAGCATAATAGCTCCCAATAAATGAACTAAAGCACAGTTTCGGTATACATTTAAAACAAGATTTAGACCCTGCAGAACAAAGTTAGGTCAGGAATTCTGTGTTGTAATGAATTCTCAAGTGTAAATAAGACCACAGAGAGATTGTATAAGCCTGTAACATACAGATGTGAGTAAGCAGGGTGGAGCACCGAGGTGAAGAATATGTCGCTGGGGAAATAAAACTATTTCTTGTCATTATTTCACTGTTTTTGCTTAGAAGGACAATGGTCTATTGTCTTAATGAGCTCCATTGTTTAGTTGCTGCTCTTTTCATTTTTTAATGAAAGAACCAGCAGTCGGACTCAGTGAGTGTTTCCTGAGATGGAGCCATTTCGAAAGCTTACAAGCTGAACACACTATTCTGTGCGCTTTTCAGAATCCTCTATTTTATTTTTGGATTGCTGCAAGGCAAAAAACCCCAAACCATATTCAAAAAAGGGAAAGCATCTGATGGGTTGAGAGCCCACAGTGCAAGATTCTACTCTGCAATCTTCTGAGTACTTGCTTAAAGGAAAGTGTAATTCAACTATGAAGCTAATTCAATTTTATATGAGGGTTAAAAATATGCAAAGCAGAGTCTTGACTGACCCTAAATTCTGTCTCTAGGCTCCAAGGAGACTTTGCCTTTATGACTACTCATTGTGTCCTTGACCACAGACAGGATACACACTATATAGAAACCAGCATGACAGAATCCCCTAGGCATAAGCCTGAATTGAATGTTCCCAAGGACACAGGTAAAAAGCCACATCCTATTGTAACAATTCACCCCCATCATTACCACACCATCACATGGACAGCCTCAGTTTACCACACTGTCGTCTCTGACAGGCAGGAATTAAAGATTCCAAAAAAATCCCATATCTAAATGTGTGGCTTAAGTTACCATACTACTTTGTGTGCCCGTGTGTTTGAAAAATCAGGCCCTAGCAAACATGCAGCTCTTGAACATGAGCTTAGCAAACAACTGCCTACATTTTTAACTATAACTTGCACTTATTGATCAAAATAGAGCAAAAGATAAGGCAATGAACCAATTTATTAAAAAAAAAAGTAAAGAAAGGATTTTTGGAATTTAGTTTAACCAGACCTTGCATGGCAACAGTGATGTCCTGGCATGATGCAATCTCAGAAAATGCTACAACTGGAGTGGATTAGCGTCACCTTTGGAGGGTCGAGACATTGGTCTGTGTCCATAAATAAGTGGAAGGGATCAACATTATGTAACTGGAAACCTTGAAGAAGTTTAAAAATTAATGTTACTTCTTCAGAGAGACCAGACATTATGGATGTAAGGGACACTGCTGGCCCTTATATCCAGTGAGGTAATCATGAGTACTGGATTGATGACAGGCAAAGGATCTTCTGAATAATAAGACATTTTTGGATGTTCTGCTCTGACAGATGAAATTATAATGATGTCAATATACATTACACTGTGCAATGGAGCTCACTAAATGAATCAGCCCAGAAGAATATATGCATTAGAATAATGTCTCTGTTTTCAGACAGACACTTGAATAGCTAGTTATGAATAAGGAAATGGTATTAACATATGCCCATCACTGTGCCAGTGATTTTTTCAATAGGTGCATAAAAGTAACATAACAGCTGTCACCCCCTTAAACTTCTCAACCGTCTGATAACTGCATCATAAAGGTCTCCTGTTTAAGTCACTACTTCTGTTTGATATTAAAATGCTGCCATAGCTTTGCATTTCAGGGAAATCCTTCCAATTTTAACATAAACCTTCCAAGGTAACATAAAAAAAACTACTTCACTGGGACACAATAGTGGAGGTTCACATTTTTCAAAAGAATGGAACTTAAAATACAGTTTATGTCACCCTAAACAGGTGATTTCCCCACACATTTGTAGCTGAAATAGGAAACAAAATGGACCAAAAATACTGACATTTTATATCTGATAAACTCTTTTGACAAATAAAAATTCCCATGACTAGGAGACACACTACAAGTGATTCAAAGCTTGCTAACTTGTCAAGGAAACAAGTTTCATATAGAAAAAGATCTTTACAAAATATGTGTTCTTTTCTCCAATATCCCTCTCATTTCAAATTTGTCTCTTCCTAACAGTGCCCCAAGAAGCACATTGACTGATAACTTAGAAATGTGCAGTTGCTTTGTGTGTAGCTTCCGAATGCCAGGAGATGAACTATATTTGTTCAAGAGCAACGGGTTTTACCATGCAGTATCTTCTTGTTCATATTAATTTTTAGAAAGCAACTGATGAGGCAAATTCTTTTGTTGGTAGCTCAAACAAAAATATATAAAACCATAGCATGGAAAATTTCACCTCTGTTACATCATTTTAGATGTAAAACAAACATTCACATATGTTAGCAATGGTACATATGGTAGATGACTTCTCTGCTGTAAACAGAATAAATTAGCTTGTAATATTTTGTTCTTAGATTTAAGATTACTTTTTGTCACAAAAAATGTTTTGCAGGCAGAGTAGATTTTTGCTCTATGGTTTTCTTGATATCCTTCCAGAGGCATCTAACAGGCATACTTCAAATTCACTCTCGTCTCCTATTACAGGAAACAGAGAAATTGCAGTTTCTATTTTCAGAAATCTGAAAAAATGAAACAACAAGTATTATTGTAATTGTTCTTCATTAGCTAAAATAACAAGTCTTTGCTTCTTTTTTAAGGCAGGAAAACAAAATATGAGCATGAAAGCACAAGACACACGATATGGCAAGATTTAAACAACATGTTTAATTATCCCCCATGCTACAAACAGCATGTATATATGTAGCAAATTCATGTAATTCTGTTGGCAATAAAATACAATACACCAATTCTTACATCTCTAAGGCTTACTTTGTAATAAAAAAATCTACTGACGAAGTTTAGTGCCCATATTTTTGGACTATTTTTTGTTCCAATAACAAAAATTAATCAGCAGTATGCATCTAAATAGCATTGATAAAGGCATAATAAAAAACCTTTTCTGGTTTCAAATAAAATTTTAATCAACTTTATTGAGGGAGAAAGAGCCAATGGGCCAGTACTTTATTACACAATCTGGATAAAGATTAATGAAAAATTAAATATACTGATGCTGCAGATCAAGAGAAGCAACAATAAGCATGAATGATGTTCACACACCTAAAGCTCAGTTCCAAAAGCGAACTGGCTCTCTCTCTCTTCACATATTGATTCTCTAGCACCGAAGATTCAAAAATAGTCTCTACCAGTTTATCAACAAAATGATCCAGGGGAAATAGTCAACAGGAAATTAAAGCCCTAATGTTAGTGTCTAACGACAGTTAGGAAAGCAAATGAACGCAGGAATGTTAATGCAGCACAGCTCCAGTCTGGTAGCTATGTGGTAGTAAAGGGGTAAGATCACAAGCGAAGAAATATTTTCTTTCTTTCTTCCCCCCCCCCCACTTAGTGCCCAACCTCCCTCTCCCTCCAAATTGGAAATTGGGTCCCACTCTGCAAAGTACTGTACATGAGAATAAAGACTGAAGGCTAAGCTGATTTTATTTTTTGTGGATGACTTGATTGCTTCTGTTTTTTAAAAGCCTAGAGTAGAAAGAGAGATACAGGTCTGAAACCAGGACTCTCTGCTGGCTACAGCATGCCCCCTTTCCTGGCCCATGCAGTTAGGCTCATTCTTGCTAGCTCTCCTTCTGTTCCCATGACTCTTGGGAGCCCAATGGGTCAGCTTCAAAAGTGCTCTCAGCCAAACCTTGTCCCTGGTGACTGGGGTATTCTGTTGGGATATAGCAGGTATGAGTTCAAACCCTTTGAGGCTGGGGGGGGAAGGAAGGGACACATGGTCTAGCAACTAGGCTATTCATGGAGAAGGAAGATTATGTAATTTAGTTGGTAAATACAACCGTCTATGTAGATATCTATCTGCTCGGGGCAGACAGCCTGCTAAGATGCATACACAGTATATAAATCAGGAGAAAACAAAATTACAACTGGACAGATCAAATCAATAAACAGTTCTTAAGGTGGGGATGGTATACACTCCCCCCATTTCCTTAAGGGAGTCTTTCAATCTTGTCTCCAATTATAAGGAAAGCTCCACCTCCAGCTCCCCAAATACTCAAAGCCACCCTTCAGGGACAAATTTAAACTGGACACCTTCCTTCAAGATCTGTCAGAGTGTTACTAGGTACTGACGCACTTAATTTGTTTTTCCCTTTCCCAGGGTGAAAAGTAAACCATGTACCCGAATCCAGCTGCCTAAAAATGATGGACTGGTACAGACTGTAGAAACAGTATATATAAGGGGGGGAAAAAGGAAAGGGGAAGAACGATGAATGGAGAACAATGAGTAAGAGTCCATAAGACCATTTCTTCTGGCTGATTATGCTGGAATGAATTCAGACAAACTGCTTTCAAACAGTTCCTGTTTTCTGCCATCAAGCTTCAAATTCCTACTGTTTTCCTCCTCTCCAGGCTTGAAGCACCTCATAGGGTTTTCCACAGAAAGGCTGATGCTCACAGCTCCTTTGGCAAAGCTTTGGAAGGGTCACAATATCAGTTTTCTAAGTTGCAAAGCATCCAGCTGCACATCACATCTGGACAGAATTGCAAAATAAAAGAATATGACCATGAGTTGTAGGTGGCTGTGCCTTGCCAGATCACAAGAGAAGAAAAATGAAACAAGACTGTTAAAGATGAGGTTAGATTCAGGAATAAACAGTCACAACTGGGTCAGGTGACTAGATCAAATGACAAAGTGAAAAGTGAATCCTGCAGTCTGCACCACAGACATCCTGTAACCTCTCTCTCCTGAAGTGGGTCTGGATCTTTAGCATCTTCAGAGTCAGCATACAAATAACGCAACAGCTCACTCTTCTACTTTTTCTCTCTGGCACAGTTACCTCCATATAAGCCTAGCCTTATTCCACTGGTTAGTCTCTAAGAATCTCTGAAATAAGGGTGAACACCTGTTGTAGTTCCTCTGCTAAAGTCTTTCAGCATTTCCTTGTTGAATATGTCAGTGTGCAGGCTGAGTGGGGTGACAATGAGATGAAGAATTATGAAGTAGTAGGGAATTGATTGGTTCCCTTAAGTGATCATTTCCAAGCTTTTAAAGATTTGGGTATTTTTAATTATGTACAGGGCTTTTTGCAAAGAAAGCATAATACTGACAAGCAGGTGATGTCTGCTGTTTGATTGAAAAACACTTTCAACACTTACCTGGTTTAAATATAGGGTTTTTTTGTTCAAATATATTCTAATATTCATACAGACTCCAAGATGAAAACAGTAAGTCTGGACTTTGCAGAATTTTGTGGAAACCATCATCAGCTATATTAAGAGAGATAGCTTGATGGAGGCCAATGCTTAGCTCAGTTTAGCAAGATAAACCATACAGCTATTCTGCTTGAAGCTCTCTATAAAGTCTCATGAATATGAGCACTGTACAGTGGGATGTAGAACGCATGTTAGAACAATGATTCTCAGCAAGACACTTGTGTTTATAATGAAACATCTGCAGTTCTTGGACTAATCTCTGAATATTTTGCAATCACCACATCTTAAAGATTTGAGTCACTTCTAGTTACTTGGCAAAATACCATATTACCATAAAATTTACAACATGCACTGTGACCAAAAAAAGAGCTCCAAATAAGCAGATAGAAAATCACTATATCTGCTGGATCTGACACCAAATAAAACACATGCACACATACCTCAAAGGATTTTATATCAGCTGTGCAGCAGCCTGTTCCATTGCCTAAACCTTCTTCCATGGGAAAATTATTTTTTTTGAATGACAATTTACAAAGCTAATACAGAAAAACTTACGATAGCATGTTGCAGGAAAAGGGGAGATCAAAAGTAGGAGAAAAGATACGTATTTGTTTTGTTGGTTTTTTTTAAACTCATCTCCCTATCCCTACCTATTCTTTTTCGCCTTGGGCTACTGAAAAGCACTAGTCTAATCAATGTCTTGTTCAAATCTCAGGACCAGGGAAGAAGGTGCACAAAGTCCATAGGGCAATAGTTTCTTTTACCTATTACTGCAGTTGACACTTAAATCCATACTTTATCACCTAAATAGCAATGGCCTGATCTTCACAATTGCTGAGCCTCTGCCACCTTCAACTATGGCATACTGAACATACTCACCATTTAAATCAGAACACTTATCAAGGACATAATTGTAGACACTTAACTTAAAAAACCTAGACCCAGATTTCCAGATATTTTACGGTCATCATATTCTTTAAAAAAAATGTGAGGGGCACGGATTTCTTAGGGTGATATCATTTATTGGACCCACTATACAGTTGGCATAGGGTGAGACAAACTTTTGAATGCAAGACTTGCATTTGAAAGCTTGTCAAACTATCCCAACTGTACAGTTGATCCAGTAAAAGATATTACCCTAAGAAATCCTTGCCTCTCTATTTCTGGACCATGATGACTACATCACTCTTATACAACCTTAAAAAATTTTAGCCACAGGATCTCCCCTCTTTCCCCCTACTCCCTGTGGTTGATGACGTCAACGTCTCCTCAGGAGATAAACATCCTTCCTCCACATGGTTAGATGCCTGCAATTTCTAAAAATCTGATGAGAATGGTTTTTTTTCTTCAGTTTAGTCAACTGTTATTCCCTTCTCAACACAAAAATGTCACCCAAACTTATTAGAAACCAAGGTTAATATTTTCACTTTATGTGCTACTCCAAAGCCAGGTCCTTCACAGCTGGCAGTAGAGCAGTTGGTTTGCTTTTTGTTTTTACTTAATCTATTTATCAAAAAGGAAAATATATATTTTTCCCGGGGGAGTATGACAAACTGGTATGAGACTGCTGGGCAAACACATTGGCGGGATCACTACTTGACTTTTAGCTTCCTTCATTTCTTGGAGTCTCATAATAGCAGAGACTCCCAATGCCTGAAGAAGGTTGACTGCACTCGGAAGCTTGCTAAGAACTTTTTTCCAACTATTCAGTTGGTCTAATAAAGGAGATCACATTTACTCAAAGAACGCTGCCTGCCTAGTTTTTATGACAGGATTTGGCAATCATTTGATTATTCAGAGGAGCACATGACATATTTCTGAATGAAGCTCGATCAGTTGTTACATAGCATATAATAGTTCCTAAGCAAGAAATAAGTTGTAAAACAACAAGAAACGTTACATATAATTCTACACAGCAATAAACCACGAATGGCACTCTAAACAAAAGTAACAATTGCCTATAGATCTGCATATAAAGTTCATATTGATGGTTTATTATGTGTAAAGAAAGGGGATTATTTTACACTGGTTGGCATGATGCTAAACTGCAGCTGGAATATTGTATTCAAATTTTATAATCCCATTGATTCTAGAGGAGGGACAGACACAGAGGAAGTTAAAAAAACACCAAAAAGAATAAGAGGTCTGAAAAATACAACTTTTGAGGAAGGATGAAGAGATCTGAGCATGAAGAACCCACAAAAAAGGAGAAAGAATTGTCTCAAAAAATGTATTGTCATATCAGATGGTGTACAGCAGGGGGTACTTGGGAAGGCCCTAGGGGTATGCACAAGTGGGGATGGAGCGCCGCTCCCAGAAGCAGGGCCGGGGCAGAGTGAGGGCAGCAGCACCTCTGTGCGGGCCACACAGGTGCCGCCCAGCCAGTCAGATATGGTGGGGAAGCTGGCACGCGGTGGCAGCCAGCGCCGCCATCCACCACCCCACGCTTGGCCATGTGCCCCACCCCCCGTCCACCCACACACCACAGCCCCACTTCCACTCTGTCTGGCCACTGGGAGTTGAAAACCCCTGGAGTAGAGGGATCATTTGGTCTCAGTTTGAAGCAGAAGTAATAATGGTACTTATGGTGCAGCAAAAAATATATAATGGTAAAAACAGACTGCCAAAATGGAATAATTTTTAGAGGAGATATTCAAAGCCTCTCCCTTTTGGGATGATATAGGATGGAGGTATTCAACTGGCTGCAAAAAAGCCCAATCCTTAGCTGGTGTAACTTGACACAGCTCTACCGAATCCAGTATGCCATGGCACTTTATGCCAATTCAGCAATTGGTACCAGATCTGTAATGACACATATAAAGCCAGTTCCTTACTTCTGTAATTTATTTTCTCTGTACACTGGCTAAGAAAACAGTTCAGTCAGTGCTGACAGTTATATATTACCCACCTGAATTTGGATCTTGCTTCTCAGAACAATCCTTTTACTTGCTCTGTGACAGGGTCAAGGTCAATGTCATAGAAACAAGGCCTTGTAGGCAGTCCTGGCATGGTGCTCATCTGTGGGAACAATGAAACCAAGTTAGATTCCTGAAAATGCAAGAGGATAAGTGCTCTGTGCATATATACCTTTGATGAAGTGAAGGGCTTGATTGTTCTTCATGAACTCATAACTACAACTGTAATTCTTAAAAAAAAGCCATCTGCTACTTTAATTCATTTTCTAAGACTGAGTTGATAAGGGATAGGAAAGAGGAAAATAAAAACTCTGAAAAAATAGTTTGATAGTACACTGGCAAGAAATGAGAGTGAACTTCCCAAACAAAACAAAGGCACAGGATTTATTTTGTATCTCAAGAGTATTCATCTACTTAAAGCAATGATATTGGCAAATCTGGTAAGGGTGAAGGCAGTATTATGGGAATTCAACAGCCCATCTCTTTGAATGAAACAGAACATGGCAAAGAATAAGTCACGATGCCTTCACAACTCACTACTTAATTAATAAATCAAGATGATTCACGCAAATATGCATGAATTATTGGTGAATCCAGTTCATCATTTAGGGACCTTCCAACCTCTAGAACGTCATTTTTCACAAGTGTTCTGAACACTAAGAAGTCACACAGCTGCAGTGGGAATCCCAACACAGAAGCAGTGACATTTCCAGCAGAACCACCAACCCCAATCTATTTACACAAGCATAAAGCTGCAAGAGCAAACTCATTTAAAATAATTCAGTATTAAAGCCATTCTGGATAGCTTTAACTTTAAAAATATGAGCTGTCCCAATGATTTAAAAGCATACAATTATCTCCGATTTCAAACAAATTATTAATTTTGTGTTTATTTTTACTTTAGTAACACCTTTCAAACATACCTAAGGGTCTTAAAAGCTGTCAGTCCTACTTTCAAAATTATTTAGTTCTTTAGGAGCCCAAAGTCACTTCTGAAAATAGGGCCTAGGAATCTAAGGGTGTGGACAGATCATAGAAAGTTAGGGTTGGAAGGGACCTCAAGAGGTCTAGCTCAACTCCCTGCTCAATGCAGGACCGTCCCCAACTAGATCATCCCAGCCAAAGCTTTGTCTAGCCAGGTTTTGAAAACCTCCAAGGATGGAGCTTCCACCACCTCTCTGGGGAACGTGATTCAGTGATTTTACTACCCTCCTAGTGAGAAAATTCTTCCTCATATCTAACCTAACCTTCCCTTGCAGCAACTTGAAACCACTGCTCCTCATTCTGTCATGTGAACCACTGAGAACAGTCTAGTTCCATCCTCTTTTGAACTCCCCTGCAATTAGTTGTAGGCTGCTATTAAATCCCGCCCCAGTCTCCTCTTCTCTAAACTAAATAAGCCCAGTTCCCTCAGTATTTCCTCCTAAATCATGTCCCCCAACCCCCTCACCATTTTTGTCACCCTCTGCTGGACTCTCTCCAATTTCTCCACATCCTTTCTGTAGTGTGGCCCCAAAACTGGACACAGTACTCCAGATGTGGCCTCACCAGTGCTGAATAGAGGGCAAGAATCACTTCCCTTGACCTATGGGCAACACATCTACCAATGCAGCCCAGTATGCCATTAGCCTTCTGGGCAACAAGGGCACACTGCTAGCTCATATTCAGCTTACTGTCCACTGTAAACCCAGGTCCTGTTCTGCAGAGCTGCTACCCAGCCAATCAGCCCCCAGCCTGTACTGGTGCATGGGATTGTTCCATCCTAAATGCAGGACTTGGCACTTGTCCTTGTTGAACCTCATGAGATTCCTTTTGGTCCAATCCTCCAATTTGTCTAGGTCACTCTGAATGTAACATTTGAAGTGCTTCAAAGGTTAAGCAGACAAATGTACATGCTCAGTGCTTTAAAGCAGTCCAGAAATAACCTTAAAGAAAACAACTAGCATTTAGAAGTGCTTCAAAATGAAGTGTTTCCTGTTATGTGTGTATACTCTGTGGAAGTTGGCAAGGGTGGGCTCATTCATTCAGCATCCCACAGTACTCTGCTCTCTATCCTGCCTCACATTGAGGTAATGCGACAAAATGTCAGTGAGTGTCAGAGGCAGATTAAGGTTTATTGGGGCCCTGGGCAAACACAAAATTGGAGGCTACAGTGGGGTGGGAAGGTCCCCACCTGGTGCTGGTAGGGGAGGCTGGGTGGATCCTGCTGGGCTGGGGGGCACATGCCCACCTCTTCCCCTGCTCCCCTTTCCCGCTAGAACACACTCACTCACTCACTGCACACGGACAAAGACACAAACTCCCTCTCCTGCCATGAACATGACATAGTAGGACTCACAGAAACGTGGTGGGATTCATCCCACGAGTGGGCAGTTAGCATTAGGGGCTATAGGCTCTACAGACGGAATAGAGAAGGAAGGAAGGCGTTCTATGTCAAAGAGCAATACAAATCCCCTGCCAGCAAAATGGGGTCGGAGGAGGGGCAAGCTGAAGTGCTCTGGGTCAAGATACAAGGGGGTCATGGGGAAAGGGATTTAACAGTGGGGGTCTACTACAGACCCCGCAACCAAGGGGAGGAGCTGGACCGGAAATCTTTGGGCCAACTTGCAGAGGCACTTAAGGCAAGGGATGAAGTTGTCATGGGTGATCTAAATTACCTGGACATCTGCTGGGAGGAGCAGTCAGCCAGGTCGGACCGTTCCAGGAGGTTCCTGGCCGAGATACAGGACCTCCACTTAACCCAGGAGGTGCACAGTCCCACGAGAGGAAATGCCCTGTTGGACCTGGTCCTGGCCACAGGCGATGATCTGGTAAGGGGGCTCCAGGTCCTTGACCACCTGGGTGAGAGCGATCATCGCTTGCTGGAATTCATCATCCAGCGCAGTGTGACAAGGGCCTGCAGCAAGACGGTAGCCCTAGACTTCAAGAGGGCCAACTTCAAATAGTTGAGGAGATTGGTGGGAGAGGTGCTGGGGTTCTCGAGGGCAGGGGAACTCAGTGCCCAAGATGAGTGGTCGTTCCTTAAGGAGACGATACTCAGGGCCCAAGGGGTGATGATCCCAACAAGAAGCAAGTGGGGCAAGAG